TTGTATGTTTGTTTGTCTTTTGTTTCGAGTTGAACTCATTACATATATTTACCTAATTTATTGGTCACTACTCTGCATCCCACGCATCTCTCGTCTTCATTACGCAACTCCTCTACCATTGTATGCATGCATACATTTATTTTGTATAAACTTGAACTGTCTGTGTAAAAAGCATATAAGCGCCATTTTCTGAGCACTGTTTACTAATTGTGGGACTTTCTGTCAACTGACATCCTGAAAAAATTTGCAAATATGTTTAGACTTTTCTGTACATAAACTTCATAATTTATTTAGGCTGTAAGCAGTTGATGAGAAATAAAAATGGTAGTACTGTATTATTTTGCACAAGCCACTATTGTTCTTGCTTGATACAATTGAATTGTGAAAAAGGACTAGACAGGTGACACTAGTTAATATCTAATGAAAGCATCAGAAGCACTTAGGAGAGACGATGAGTTTAATTGGACAATAGTGACTATTGTGATTTATCTAGCCTTTTCTTCGGTGGTGACTGAATCGTATCAGTCAGGTTTGAGTTTATCACTAAACTCCTTTGGAATCGAAAACAATATAGCTAGGGAAAATAACTACAATTTTAGCACCATCTAGTTATTAATAAAAATGCAAATAAAACAGACATGTATGTATTAGTCATTTTTGAGTTTTTTTTAAACCTTGTTTCTCACTTTAGGAGAAACAGGACATAATTGTTTTTCGCTTATACATCACCTATTCACCTTCTCTATTTTATGTTCTAAGACTTAACCACCATAGAATTTCAACTGCTTTATCAGATATTATTAGATACATCTACGTTAGAGTGATGACAGGCCCAGTGTTGATAATGCCCATCAGCACCTGTTATAAATGAAAACATAAACACTGACGATTTAATATGAATGTGACTAAAGTTAAAATTTATCAGAATAAACAAGAAAAACAACAGCAGAGCAAAAAAACACCTGTAGTCACTGGGATAAAACTTTCGGATCAATGGAATGAAAATTACACTAATGTCTGCAAAAGGATACCTATGAGTGATTAGACTATAAGAGAAATGAACATGGGACTAGCATCAAACACTGTAAATTTATCATATCGAATTACAAAAATTTCTCCAAGTTCCAATCGAGCATTCAGAATTAGGAAACCTTCAGCGTGCAAGGGAACTTCTTATACAAAGATTGCAGATAAGTTACTATTAGAATGAAATTTAGGGGGATAAGGTGGGGAAAAACCAACTAAGTATGAATCTTTTCACTCTATAATTAAAAATGTAATTTACCAATAGAACTTGTATGCATTTTTCTTTAACATACAATTGGTGGATGGTGGCTAGCAGTGGGAATATCGGTGGGAACATCATCACTCACTGAGAAATGCAGGTACATCCAGCTGACGAGTCCCAAATAGGACGAAATGCGCATCCTGGATTCCACTGCTAGTCAGCATCCACCAATTGTATACTAACTGAATGCCCGGACATCGTTGAAGCATCTGCACAAGAAGCCGACATGTCAACCTGAGACCGAGCACTTTGGTCCAATCAATCGACGGGAAAATCAAAAAATTCAATTCAATAATTTTTCTTTAAGTCCTACAATAAAACTAATGATAGCGAAAACTCCTATTCAGATATCTAGAAGATAAAAGAAAATTTGATCAAACACAAAATTCTTCCCGATAAATTCCTCTACCGGCTGTACACTGTCTTCAGGAGATAAAAATAAACAACCTAATTTTGCCACTTCTATGGACATCTGTCCAGTTTGACTGCTTCTGTGGAACCAGTTACATAGGACATAGAATTAGGCGTGTTTATCGATAGATTTCTGAACACCACAGTGCCTGATCAGACAAGGGATAAATAAAGTTCATTCATACTACTTCTATTCAATCTCATTTCGTGGATATAGAACACAAAATTGATGTTATCAAGGCTTTCAAAGTTTAATTTGAATTTTACTTCAACAGTTCATTTGTTAAATATTGCTGAAGCTGCCAGTATCCATATTAAGAATCTTAACATCTTATGTATTCCAAATTAGGTTGGTTCAGACACTTTCCTTACCTTGGTGATCATCAAGGTGTTAACTATCCTCAAATTTGTTGCATAAATTTCCTTCTTGATTTTATCTAATATTCTATCTAGTTTATTTAGTACTACAGTTTTATGCTTATTATGACTTATGCATCTTCCTTGGACTATAGTTTAACTTATATCTATGATATTCTAGAATATTATAGACATATATATATATATATATGCATAATTGTACAATAGTACGAGGAATTTTTCGAAAACAATACTGTTTGCTCAAATAATCTTTTGTCTTCTACAATTAACTATAATTCCACTTAACAGTAACAGTTTAAATTGCATTAATGCATACTGAAAAACGTAGTTTAAGATTCCACCTTTTGATAAAAATCATTTTAGTAAACAGTCCATTAAAATTATCTTTATATAACCATGGAATAATCGCTGAGTATTTAGTCTCAATAACTGGACAGTCAGTGAAACAATTTAATTGATGAACCAGTGAAATAATATGTAGAACTCTGTTAGCTAATAAGATCCTACTACATATTTGTATTGACTACCATAAACAATCTGGTATGGTCTCTTCCTCTGCAATGTAAATCCTGTCCTCACTGCCTCTACGTGGCAGATGTTTTTCTCACAAAAATGAGACCACGAATGAGACCGTCTGGAGCTTACAACCTACGGTGTACACAGGCTCCAAGATCCAAATGGGTCAAATGGTGTATGAACCTGTTTTCGACACCGTAAACCATGACAACGCAGCTCCACTGCACTGCGGATCCGGTCAAAGGCTCAGACTGTGGACACTTAAGACAACAACCTGTCTTGGTTTGAGCATCCGGGAAGTATCCCAGCCTCCATACAAACTATAAGATTTTGTATGGTACATCTCTTGTCTGTCTGTCTGTTTTCGACATAGAACTTTGCGCAAATGTGCGGAAGTTCAAGTCGCCACACTCCATGTAGCACGCGAAACAAGAGAAGAAAGTACAAGAAAAGCATAATAGAGACAGTAAACAGAGGTGTGAGACAAAGGAGTAATAAAGAAAAACAAAACAGTTTCATTGGAAATCATAAGTCACAAGGAGTGGATGCATCTGCACCAGCCATTGAGAACGATTTTGAGCCATGTCACCAATTGTTTCCAACCATAGGTTTTTACCGTCCCGAGGACCCCAGCCTGGAAGTCTACACCTTTCTACGTGGCTTAGACCAACTGTTGTGGATTTCATTGACTGATGCCAAGTTTTTGTTTGACCGCCACTAGCTTTTTTCCAGCCTGACCCTATATCCGCTAACATAGCTCGTCGAGGGAGGCGATGACTTGGCATACGTAACACATGTCCTAACCATCTCAGTCGATGTAGCTTCACGACTTCGTCGATTGATTTCCCCTGTTTACCTAGAACTCGACGCCTAACCTCCATGTTGCTCACCTTATTATGCCACTTTACACGGGAAATAGAGCCCAGGCACCTATGATCAAAGACAGCTAGCCAACCTTTTCATGTCTTCCACTCTCAGTGGCCAGGTCTCACTAGCTGCCATAAAGGAGGACGGAGTGGACTGATGAGCAGTACACCCGCCGTTTGGTCGATAGTCGAACATCTCGTCTACGCCAGAGTCGGCGTAAACTAACAAATGCGAAACGAGCCCCTTGTATTCGTGCTGAGATTTCGTCAGAGATCAACCCGTTGGCACTGGCTGATGGTACTTCCCAAATAAGTGAAGCGGTCAACGTGCTCTACCACTTCACTTCCTATTTTTAAACTAGGCGTCGATGTAGTCCAGTCCTGTACATCTCTTGGCGGGCATAATGTAGCAAGAGTGTTCTGCTAAATACAAATATTTACACTAATCAGCCTACGTAAATTCCCAAGTAGCCAAATGTTATATGGAAAAAAGAGCACCCCCGCAGATCTCAATAACACCACTTTTTTGGTTCGTTTAAGCTGCAGACTATTTTGAATTAAAGATATCTCACAATCTGGTTCTAACAAACCAGGCTATAACACCATTTACAAACTACAGTAGTCTTCAACAAAGTGAAGGTATAGCTTAGCTGAGCACTTGACTACCGGTTACCACATCCCGGATCTCAGATTCCAATTCCAAACACCATAAGCCTAATAAATGAGGTGCAACCTATGGACTAGTAATATGCAATAATCTCACTCGACAATTTCAAGCGTGTGAATTCGCATGGTAATGAGTTACGCATTATACAAGCGAGTTGATAATACTTTCTACCTGAATTGCAGTGATCGCAGAGCAGTGGTAAAGGGTGATTAACTCAATGAATCCCACCCAGTATTGCACAAAAACATTTGTGCCCATATCACTGTAGTGCTCCAGATTTTCCAATGAACAGATTTATTCTCACTCAACAAAATTTTGCACTAAGACTACCATGACCACCGTTTTGATGTACAAAATTGAACTCAAACTCAGTATTAAGCGGAAACAAGTACTGTAATGAAGACCTCTAACTGTTTGTAAATAAATCATCAGTGAGGTGCAGTCAACTGTGATTTTTTTTTAAGCTTTCGTGAGAATATAAAATACTTAATGGTGTTAAAATGGATAAACAAGTGACTGGTGACATTTTTCTGATTCCTGATAATCAATATCTAAATGCAACAGTCACACAGTACTTGCATACTGGTTCAGTAAAGTTAAGTAACATCATGTAACAGTCACAATATCCCTTAGTCGACGATGAAAACACAACTGAGGTGAATGACAGCATAATTTAACACGAGAATGATGACGAAGAGGATAATAATTCGAAGCTATGAAATCATTACAAAAATGCAATATCCAATGAACAACATCGAATCTAACATTGTTGACTAATTATTGAAATTGATACTATATCTAGCGAGACAACTACAATTGAAAATAATACTCAATCTGGGGGACCAAAAGAAAGTTCACTAAGACATACACTTACCACCGCCTCCATATCCTCCATCTCCACGACCTCTGCCACGATCTCCATAGCCACCACGATGACCTCCAGGATTATCACCGAAACCACCGCCGCCACGTCCACCTCTCTGTCCACCGCCACCACTGTCTGGTTGGCGTTGTTTGAAGGCCGGCATTTCAGGTGGGGGAGGTTCTAATTCCCATGCTCTACCACCTCGATCAGGAACCTATAAATTGCAAGTAAATATTAAGCAGTCGAAATATAATAAACCTATATGTGACTGTCAAAAAAAGAAAACTGAACAAAATAAATATAGAGTATGACTACAGTTAGTTGACAGCAAGTTACTTCGTACACTAAAATCATCAACTAATATGATCATACATCCTGTTCCCTTGATTATTTTCGTCAAAGCATGAAGAACACAATTTTGCAGCACATAAAATGCACGTCTTATTTCGAGGCTTTCCGTCAGCTGGATGAAAAGAACATACATTTCTGCGCAGAATTTATGTATGAAGATTGACGTTTAACGAGGCACTGAATAGTGCAATGTGACGCCATACACATTACTATTTTCAGCCATTTCACCAATCGTCTTCAGCTATTGGAAAAAGACTACTTGGTGATATACATAAAGCATGTACAAGTGATCATAAATTGATTACCTGACTTAAGATCAGTGGGTCGAAATAGAAATATCACTAAGAACAAGAAAAGAGAATATGTAACTATGCAATAAGTGAAATAACTGTTACCAGACAAAGCTGAGACTAATCACGGCTTTTTTCTGTTAACAAATGTTGGGTTTGAGTCATTTGATAGTATCAGATTACTTTGTGTCCCAACTCAATTAGATGTCAGCCAATGGCCCTGGTAAAGGACCGGAGACCTCGGAGTTACAGGCGTTTTGAAATATATATTCGGAAATGCGAATGGTTTCTCATTTTTCTAACCTTCCGGTTTATTCTCTGTACTATATATGAATTTGTAAACACAGTTGCTGGCAACTCACGATGGATGAATGTTCACTTTCGATTGATAAATGGCACAATTAATTCTGTCAACAAAAAGAAGTTAAGCTGCCACATAAGTTGTAGCAACTGCGACTTCTAGCCAATTATTTACTCGGTGTAATACATCATCTCATTTTAAGGCTAACCGTACAAGTGTAGGCTTCTTCTCAACTGTAAGAGTATCCCAATCAATCAATATAGTTCCATCCACATTGTCTAACAAATCTCTCTGGATACCTGTTTTCAGATAGTTACCTTTTAAGGAAGCCCAACTCTTCAACCAATCAATTATCAGAGTACAATTTTTGTATTCTCTCCGAGAGACCTGATCACTCCAATTGAAAGAGTTACTTATGACGGAATCAAGATGCTTTTTAAAACATCAAGACAAAGAAAACTGGCTCACGAGGAAAAACTCATTTTATGGTTAATTATCTAATCCATAATCGCTATTACTTACTCTGCCAATCAAAATCTTATTTAGGTCACATGATGTGTAACGACGTGAACTGGCACCACTCGTCTTTTCAATCCGTAATATCATATTATCTCGTACAGCCAAAACTTCCGGAATGCCAGGATAGGGAATCTGTCCCATTTTTCCTCTAATTGGGTTATATACAGCAGTGATATTGTCTAAATTAGACTGAAAATGAAAAATAAAACCGGAAAAAATGCAGATAAATATACTTGCTTATAGGACTGACAAGAATGAAAGCGTTAAAACTGTTGAAGATCACTGGAACCAGTCAGACCTTGGAACCCTCACATTACTGGCATGATCTTCAAAATAGTCCAAAAGATATCTGATATTATGTAGTCAGCTGATGCCTGTAAAAGAATATTGATAAGGATTCCTAATATCGCTTAAGAAATATCGATATTTTGAATGCATTTGCAGTATCCAATGAATTAGCCAGCTGGCCAACTAATTTATACATAAAGACAAGAAGTGATTATTGTTATCGCAGGTAGTTTAGTAAATAGTGCTACAGTCTTTGGATAGACGATGGAGATTTTTAGCTACGGTGGCTAGGTGTATCTACTGTTGTCTTTTCCGAGATGGTTGGTTTAACTGCGAAACTTCCAGACCCAGTAGTTTAGTCAGTGTTTACCCCCAATGGAAACCAAATCGCATTTACCAATTTTCAGATTCACTTCATGCGTAAACCACATAATTCGGCCTTCACTTTAGTCGAGATACTACAAACAGTATTAGTTTGCATCAATTATTACTACCCAAAGGCTTTTTTACATATTTCTCATTTCAAATGTCTGTAGCGGAAATTTTAGAAAATCTAGCCATGGCTATTGATTTATTTTGATCCAAAACTTTTAAAGCATGACAGTAGTCTTCAATATAAATCTCAGTAATTGGTTTCCGTCCTTATATACTTCCTGGCATAGTTAATATCGGTTGTTTAATTGAAGAAAGAATTCACGGCTTTTCTAGTGCGTTTGTAGCCAAAATTAAGCTTAAACTCTTGAAACACTGGAATTTCTTGCTTGATGAGATAATTATTGGAGATTTAAATTCGTCATTTCTTCGGTATCCTTTGTATCTTTCTGGAATTTTAATTTATTTGGACATGACGATTCTCCAAATTTTGAAATATGCATGTAATTAATGGCATGGAAATGAACTAATCTTTGATTATTACACAACGCCATAATTACTCTGAATTGATCTTGAAGTATACCCATGCAGAAAAATACATTTTTCGAACAATTTGTTAGAAGGAAATCAGTTAAAAGTTCAGTCTATATCCTATAGGTTGTGATGCTTATTTTAGTAAATCAGCGGTTCACAAGTCAAATTAAAAGGCCTTTTAGCATTTACGAAGACATCAGAACCTAATCCCAATACAACTAGTATCAAAATAAGTTTTATAAAAAAAAATGTCTTTCTACAAGTGGTTTTGGAAAAGAACTCACCTTTGCTTTATCCGACCATTTAAAACTTTGCACTGTAACATCTAAACGTTTCAACAGAGTAGACTGACGACTGGCATACTGCTGTTGAAGCAAGGCAGCAATGCGACTTATCTGCGACCACTGTCGGTCACTAATACCAGTCAGCGGAATGACCGATTTACCCATATGATTAGGTGGACATCGTGAAAGACTATCTGATATCTAAGATTACAAGAAAATAAAAAACAATAATAGGAATGTAAACGAAACGACATTGTCACTTGGAGGATAGTTTCGAAACATGGATATAATGAAGTGGAAAAGTCACTAAAGGAAAAAAATCCTGTTGAAAATGTGTTACAACTGAGGTGCAAAGAGGGGACTACAACCCTTGAAACACTCCGCTTTAGGTACAGCTGAATCTTTTCTGAACGGGACTAAATCTTCAACGTAGAACTTTGCACAAAAAACACAGTAGTTCAAATTATCAAAACCCCATTAACCGCTGATGAAGCACGAGGATAAATGCAAACAGATTAGATAGACTATAATAAATGATTGTTAAAGCCATATTAGTTTGTTTATTATATGTATCATACAATGAAACAGTATTATTTACTGGATGACGTTTCGAACCAAATTTATTGTTCATAATCATATCAATTTTTGTCACACGACTTCGAGATTTGATTTTTATAGTTTTCTCTGTCTTCTCCTATTTGTTGTATGGGCAGTAGAATTTTCCATATATCTGGGACAGGTTTGAATCATTCCTATTACATGTATTTGCAGTTGATTCGATAAACAAAGCTTCTGTTATCAATCTTCCCCTATACCCTGTGACATTAGATTTCAAAACTGTCATCCTATCCCATCCTATTGTATGGCTGCGTGTAACTGCATGTAGTGCTATAGCTGAACTACTCTCTAGATTTCTTATCTTATTCGGGTCAACCAATCTAGATTTAGCTAGGTTTTTATGCTCGGTTGGTCTAACTGCCCCTGTTCTACTAGTGTGAGCTATGTATTTGACCTGACAATCATTCCAGCAGGGTATTAGATGAGCTAAATTGTTTTGTTTTAAAGGCTCCACAGGATCCTTTAACCGACAAAGCTTGTTTCTAATTGAGTTTATGGGTTTGAAAGTCACTTTTATTCCTGCCTTGTTAAGAATTCTGCGTAAGGCTTCCGAGGTTCCTTCCTTGTATGGAATTACTGTTGATGATTTAGATTCCTTATTGCTGGTGTCGTCATTAGTATTATTACCACTATTATTATTACCATTACTATTATTATAATTATTATTGTTATCATTATTATTATCACTATCGCTATTATCATTATTTATTTTATTTTTACATTTACTTACATATTTCTTGACTAATTTATCCGGGTAATTATCAAGTTTCAAGGCTTCTTTTATGTGTATCACTTCCTGTCTTAGATTTCCCTTGGTACTACTTAGTTTTTGTGCTCTGTCATTTAAACATTTTACTAATCCTATTTTTACTGACATAGGATGTGATGATCGGAAATCCAAATATATGTTTGAATGTGTGGGTTTTCTGTAAACGCTAGTGTTTAACTTCCCATCTTTCCTTTTTACGCTGCAATCTAACATTGGAAGTTCCCCTTCCTGACTTTCCCATTCATAAGTGAATTGAATTGCCTCTACCTTAGAGTTGATGTGTTCGAAAAAAAGCTATCTATATCTTGTGTTCTAAGTACAGTGAATGTGTCATCTACATACTTCCACCATACTTTTGGGGTGGGGGTGAACGTTTCAATCGCTATGCTTTCCCACCTATCCATGAATATATCTGCTACAACCGGGGATATTGGTGATCCCCTGGCAATTCCATCAGTTTGTTTGTATATTTTCTCTTGGAATTCAAATACTGTAGAAGTCAGGCAAAGCTGCACTCCCAGCATTATGTCCTCAAGTTGCACTTTTGTCCTAAGTTCGAGTTCTGACTGCCTCCATATTTATTGGTATACGTGTATATAAACTGGCAATGTCAAAACTAACAATTTTTTCTTCATTATCTAATTTTAAATTATCTAATCTGTTTTAGTTCATAAGAATTGGTTAGTCTAGATTTTGAGTGGATTTTTAGGGGATTTATCACCATGGCTAAATATTTAGATAATTCATAAGTCGGCGAATTTCCAAAATCAACCATAGGCCTAATAGGGTATCCTGACTTATGAACTTTAAAAACACCATACATCCTACTGGGGTTATTAGTTTTTGGCATTAAATTAAACCACTTAGAGTCACCTACAAACGGCTTCATTCGGCCTGTACGGTCCGCTGTGGATTTCTTAACTTTATTCATAACTGTGTCTATTGATTTAATAATTTCCTCATATGGTCCTGTTTGTGAGTATTATTTACCTTGTTCAAATAGTCTGATATGTCCAATACTACTGCTGCATTTCCTTTATCTGACTTTGTGATAACTATATCCTTGTTATTCTTAAGGTGTTTCAGGGCTTCTGTCTCTTGTTTTGTCAGGTTAGGCTTTCCACATTTTTGTCGTTTTAAAGTAAGTGCACATTGTGCACGTACTTCTTCAGTTGTTGTTTTGTCAATAATAATTGATAATAATAAATAAAACTTTCACTGTGATACATCTAATAAACAAACTAATATGGAATTGCTTACTACCACGGTGCCCAAGTTTTACACATAGATTGTTAAAGCCGATATTCCAAAGATAAGATTTAAGGGTAAGACTTTAAATATCTTGTGGTGAAAAATGCCTTAAGCAGTAAAGCACAACATTACAACAGCTTATAAATACAGCTGGCAAGTAACTCCTCTGATATGTTAGTTACTTGTCATAAAACAACTGTTGGCTAGACCACCTCGGATGTATTAATATAAGGAAGTGATCTTACAAGAAGACTATGGGCTGACCGATAAAATATTTACCCAAGATTACTTACACCTTTTTGAAAACTAGAATATATTAAGGAAGATGCAGTACCATCCGGAGGAATTGTCAAACCAAGAGCTACAAATGCCCTGTGCATCCATGTCAAAATTTCCAGATCTTCGGATGTTTCGACTTCCATTGAATGGTTTCCATTAGTTTGCTTATTGCCTGAATTGACTTTCGACATTTGTCTCGTAGTCATCACTTCTGAACAGAGATATTCTGATAAAAGGAAAAATAAACACTGTAAGTGTCCGATTAAAATGAAGTACAAAACCCACCTTCAAATTGCCACTAGTATGGGTTAGTAGGACAAGCTATTATGTTTCACCATGATTCCGATGACTTCAGATAACCGTTTAAAATATAAATAAACTACACTAGTTCGTGATTGATTTGATGTAAATCAGAAACCCCAACACTAATCACAGCAACCTGTAACATGAAAGACATAATAAATCTCTCTGGTGGTGCATCAGTAAAGCTGGGAGTGATAAGACCACGCAGAGGTCATTGGTATTACGTATATGGATACATGAGTGCTGTCTCTACGAACTCAAAAATCCACTTCAGACAGCTTACAAACATGGAACATTATAAGTATCCATAGAATATTCCGTTTATGTAGTTGAACGGAATGCATGCAGAGCCATACGAGAACAAGTAATCACGATAAAATGTTAAACTTACGCAAAAGTAAAGCACGATTAGCAGCAGACGAGTATCGTTCAGATACCGAACCTTCAGTTAGAGCTACATACGGACATCCTGCAAAACATAAACGAACACCAAAGTTTGAAAAATTATTCCAGGCAGATACAACACTGCATAGGCAATGTAACGCTTAAATAGTGTTAGGCATAGTCGCTGGAATATTGCAGTGGCCAGCACATAACAAAAGTGACTATAAACTCACCATAAGCCGACAGAAATTTCTCCAAATTATTTACAAAATTTTCATAATCATACTCTTCTACAATTTGGTATATGGTGACAAGTAGAAATTTACCTGTTATTGTATGTACATTTGAAGAGACACAGTGAGCCCTTCCTATTTCAAAAACTAAATCACTGGTTACAGATGAAAACTCATTGTCCTTTTCCAAAACAGTCCCCCAATCGCATTTTACACTGCAAATAATATAAGAAAATAGCCTACACATTACCCCACCACCTTCAGTCTCTCGGCAATGTCACTTTTCGCCTTCTTAGTCATTATTCTAAATAGGCGGAACTCCAATATTCAACATCCAATGCCGTTTGCACGTGGTAATACAGACTAAGTCGTGCTGGTTCTAAAGTTAAGGTCCCCGGTCTTTGGTAGACTTCTGCACGGTGCGTCACGCTATCCAACTGTCGTACCTTTGGTTGACTCCTAAGGGAGTGCTGCGGAGAGTGATTATATACAGCTAGCAGTTTGCGGGATGTTAGGACCATGTAGTTCCAATATCCAATATCGTTTTTACGAGCTAGTATAAACAAATTTGATTTCTTTGTGCTCGCTTCTTGATTGTAAGGTATAGGTTCCAGATCGTGCGTCGGTGGCACAGTGGTTAGGACTCTCGCCGACCATGCACATGGTCCGGGTTCGAGCCCACGCCGGCGCACACCTGATATCTATGGTCAGCCTGCAAAATTTGGGCTACCGATATCCATGCTGAAAGTTCCATACTTGTACCAAAAATACAGTGTGGAATCAAGCTGTAAATCAAAAATAAAAAATAAAATAAAAAATCTCCGGTAAACTTCTGCGTAACTTTTCCCGCCACTCGACTGTCGTAGCTTTGGTTGATTCCAAAGGGAGTAGTGCTGTGAATAGAGTTGATCGTTCATTCCGTTAGTTTCCCATCGTGTTAAAAATGAGAGGTAATCGTAATAGACATAATTAGTGTAGATTATTTAAACTTAAAGAGAAAATAGCATGGTGAAATCTAACGACTTAAAAAAGGGAAGCGAGACAAGTGGATGGATCGGTAAATTAATCAGGATGGTTTTAGATCAGAATTTTACATGACATGTGGCGTTTTCTATTGGGATAGTCCATTTGCGTTGCTTCATGATTGTTCAACCTCCACTCAAAGCTCTCTACGGCCATAGAAGCTGTCAGAGCTAAAGAGATGGTATAGTGGAAGCGAGGAAATTGCAAACGTACTCAATTCCTTGCTATGAAAAAACCCGTCACGGCCCCGAGGTAGAACACCCTCATTTAGGCGTTTTACAATCAATACTAGTTTTACAAAAATGAAGCACACCAAGGACCATGTTCTTGGTTCCACAAGTACAGCATCGTCATATTATGTTAGGAGTTATATGTATCCAGTTTCGATTTAATGGTGTGATTTCGTGACAAAGGCTATTTTTTCCTAACCACTGTGTCACCGACGCCACTTTTCATCGTTCGCTGTTCGTTGGAAGACAGAGAAAAACTATCAGAAGTGTAATTGTGATTTATTTTTATGATATTTATTCTTAGACTTTGTGTACAATAACCTAATGGTTGGCTCTGTATTGGTGCAAGAATAAAGGGTTTTTGAGTTACCAATTTGTGTTCTGGTGTTTTGCGTTGGTTATTGCGCATAGTTTTTGAAAGCTTCTAAGGACACTGTGAATTCCAGTATAGTTTTACCTGGACATTGACAGGTAGATCGATATGTACGGTCGTTGTTCCTAGCTACAAATTACGTTTCTTTTCGTTGCTTTACTTGAATTACATCGAACGATACCTTGTCCGGTTTTTTCTGTGGGAGATTTCTGTGATTTTTGACACTCAAACGAACGTTGTGACCACGAAATTTGCGCATTTCAGTATGTATGCGGACAGCGAGATAGTAGGGGTCTAGCTATCAGTGGTACACAATATGACAGAGCTACTTGATTAAGGCGATCATTTGTTCACTTGACATGGCGACCCATACGGTTATTGTGAAAAGGTGAATCATGAAATTCCGTTAAGTGATCGGAAATTAACGTCATCTACATCCCTAAGAGTTCCATGTCATTGGGAAGGCGAAGTTCAGCGACAAGTGCGGGAGATGTTAAAAGATGATATTATCGAAGAAGCTGATAGGCCGTACAACTCTCCAGTGCTGTTAGTAAAAAATGCGAACAGCAAGTATATATTCTGTGTTGATTTTCGACAGTTAAACAGTATGACAGAGTTAAGACCGTGTGCCATGCTAACGGTAGAAGAAACTTTAGATCGCTTACAAGGTGCAAATGTGTTTTCGGTTCTCGATCTTCGCTCAGGATACTGGCAGATACCGATAAAACAAGGTGATAGAGATAAGACGGCATTCATCGTGGGTCAGACACATTATCGATTTAAACGCATGCCGTTTGGACTGGCAGGTGCACCGTTTACGTTTGGACGACTGATGACGATATTACTTAAGAACTTGAAAAACGTGGAGGTTTATGGTGATGATCTCGTCAAATACGGTCACATGAACCATATAGAAGCCGTGCTGCGACGCATCGAAGAGTTTGGACTACGCGTCAACAAAACCGAGTCTCAGATAGCCAAAAAGAATGTTACTCTGTTGGGACATAAAGTGGGAAATGGTGAGATTAAACCACTGCCGGAGAAAATTTTGACGATTAAAACGATTCCAGCCCCGAATTCAAAGAAAAACTGAGACAATTCTTGGGTAGAGCAGCGTTTTATATTCGCTTCGTGAAGAACTTCAATGAGATAGCAGCCCCTCTATACAGGCTACTAGGTGAACTGAAGTTTGTTTGGTCGGAAGAATCGCAGAGGACATTCGACAGAATTAAACAGCTGCTCGACCACCAACAAATGACGCTAAAACTACCTGTGCCAGGAAGACAGTTCACAGTGTGCACAGATGCCAGTGACTACGCTATAGGTGCGGTCCTAAGACAGGACGAGGGAATCGTTGAGTATGCCAGTAGGGTTTTGACACACACAGAGAAAGTATTCAACGATAGAGAAAGAATGTTTAGCAATGGTATGGGCAGTCGACAAATGGAGACCTTATTTACTCGGCCGGCGGTTCCACATCGAAACTGATCATAAGCCGCTACAATTTTTGAAGACAGCGAGAGACCCACGGGGGAAGTTGTCACGGTGGATGTTGCGTCTTCAGGAGTACGATTTTACGATCTCACACGTTCCTGGAAGTGAAAATGTCTTGGCAGATTTGTTATCGAGACCAGAAGATGAGTCTGAGTTGCCCGAGGTCGCTTACGGAGTGCATGCAGTAGAACAAGACCCACTAAGACTTGCACGTAGGCAGAGGTTGGACGATACGCTGAATACAGTAATACAGGTGATCACCAACGGAATAGAAGTGGATCAAACTACGGCGAGTAAGGAGCTAACCACACTACTCAGACAGAGGGATCGACTCAGAGTGAATGCCTACGGGACTCTGACCTGGCGAGAGAACGACGGAAGCTGGCTGGCTGTCATACCTCAATCGTCGCGCCACGACATGATAGAAGAATGTCACCAGCTAGCGCATACAGGCGTGGCCAGAACGACCGATCTCCTAAGACAAAGTATGTACTGGCCAGGTATGAGAGAAGACGTAGCAAGATACGTACTTGGATGTCCACGGTGCCAGCTGATGAAAGGTGACCGGTGCATACGACCACCACTTCAGTCGATTCCAGTTACCGCGATAGGTGACTTGTGGTCCGTAGATGTCATGGGTCCATTTCCTCAGACATCCAATGGTAATCAGTACCTCTTGGTGATGACGGAACACGCGACACGATGGGTAGACGCCGTAGCAATCCCAGACCAACGTGCAAGAACCGTGACAGATGCAGTAGTTAGACACATTGTTGCAGACCACGGCGTACCGAAGACAATACTGACAGACCAAGGTCCCTGTTTCGAGAGTGAAGAGTTTACTTCCCGTTTGCAACAGCTGGGCATCAAGAGGATCAGAACGACCCCATACCATCCACAAACGAATGGCCTAACGGAGAGAAACAACCGTACACTGAAGGAGTGGCTGGCCTCGAAGGGCGGGAACTGGGAAACGGAGCTTCCACTGATTTTACTAACACATCGTGCTACCACTCAGGAAACAACGAAGAAGTCACCCTTCCAACTGATGTATGGTAGAAAACCACGATTACCGATACACAACGAGGCCTGGCCCCTTCACTAAAAGTGGATGAAATTTAAAACAGAGCGGAAAGAAGCAGTCAAGAATGAATTGCAGAAGTAGCGGAGTGATTTCATGAAGTCTCAGCTGAAAGAAAAGACTCAATGCATCACCTTTGTAGTCAGGGACTAAGTGAAGTGTTGAGACAGAAGATATACAGTTGGATGCGGGCCAGGTTCACGAAAACTCCTTCCAAAGTGGGAAAGACCATACACAATCACAAAAAGACGGGGTCAAGTACATGCCATCCGAATAGGTAACAAACGGAGACGAGTTCACACCAGTCAACTCCAACGATGTGTACAGTGAGACAAGCCGGTCAGCAACAATCCTCAACTAGAGGATGTATCACCCAGGAGGTCGGAACGCCTGAGCGTGCAGCTATTTGACGGGGCGACAAGTGTGGTGAGAGCAGGCTAACCAAAAATAGTAGACAGTATTTTACGTCAATGGGTATGTCGCAAATATTGGTGGTGAGAAAATGTGGACAAAACTGATTCAACAAACAACCACAGCACACTTTGCGTAGGCAGATTCACTTAACATATCGACGATCTGACATTCAAGAAGCTGTCACAAAGAGATGCAAGGTCAACTTTCTGTGAGAAACAACCAATCAGAAGAGTGTGTTTGTTTGCTTGGATAAGATATAATAATGTACTTGAAATATATATAAGTACGTATTGATTTCCTTGATAAACGATCTGTTGCCTGACTCTTATCTTCTGTCATTGCACGAGAATTTATACTCCCCTCCCACCCTAAACGAGTATGCATACACAGTGATAATGTCAAGATGATAAATCTCTCTCTATATCTGAAAATCAATGAATGAGATGTTTTTTTCAAGGGAAGAATACGGAATATGGATTGATCGACATCACGGTTATTACGTCAACTGCAGCACCTTGAAGATAGCAATGCAGTGGATGAGACTGCGCTCAGGCAAGGCCAGATGCAAGCTCTCCCGAAGTATGTGCAGCAGACACTAGATGCACAGAATTCTGACCCTCCGCCTGAGCAGTTGGCCCACATTACTGACCTACTGTTTGGAAAGAGACCATTTGCAGAAGAGCATGTGCAGCATATGTATAAATAACCTCAGAACTGGTGCCTAACGTCATTTCACAAAGGAACAACTGACAAAAACACAACACCGAAGAGAACACCTGACAGGGAACCTCCTCGGTCAGAGAGTGGGCTCAGGCAAACTAGATCGACAAGTCAGTTCTGTCTGTATCACTGAAA